TAGCTTTCTATAGACCCTTCACTTTCTGTTCTGCAGGTCCTGCCATTTTGCAGCTGTCCTTGCTCCTGGTATCTCTTCCCTTTATCAAACTGAATGTCACATATGCTTCTGAAGTGCCTTCCTTTTTGCCCATGACTCTGTCACCATGTGAGAGCTATGGCACAGGTCCCAGTTAGTCACTGCCCTCATGTTCCAGGAATTGGAATTGCTGTCTGGGCTTTCCAGGGTGCCTCCCACCCTTCCTGTGGGCAGCCCAAGGGTGCTCTTGCATCCTCCCTGCCCTTGCAGCCATGGAATTGGCAACCTTGATGAAATCTCTCCTTGGTGGTATCTCACAAGGGATAGCTGCCAGGGCTGCACGATGTGCTAGCAGCCATCCTCATGAGGAATATGCATGCTTTGGGAAGTATTCTGACCCACATTAGTCCTAGTGCTGTGCCCAGACACACATATCTTTCTTGCACTGGGTTGTGCCAGCACATTTCTTAGGACTTTCTCACAGATCACCAGGGCAGAGCAGCAGCTAACTGGGATTTATTGGTGTGCATTAGCTGAGCGACCCTGCATGTACCACAGAAAGCTGCAGTGCCCTATAATGTATTAGTAGACACTATAAAAATCTGTGGCTGTAATAGAGTGGATAACTTCCACCATTCGGCATTTTCATGCTCCTAATGCTAATGACTGTTCCTTCATTCCTTTCATCAGCAGCTCTCAAAGAAGCATCATTAAGACAGCATATTCCCATACAAGAAAGACATCAGGCTCAGTTCATTTAAAAGACATATTTCAATAAAGTCAATATAAAATTCAGATCAGAGGTGTCCTTAGGGATTCTTGTACCTGCCCTGCATGGCTCTAACACTTAGCTATAGCCCATGTTTGCACAATATGGGTGTGTAAATTCTGGAGATGCCCAGTGAGTGTGGATTTTCCTAAAAGACTCTTAACCTAGGTCAGCCTTTTATTTGCACTCCACAATACAGTGGTGTTCTGACATACGTTAGAATGATATAAATAAAATTACATAAAGCAATCAGTTCTTCACTTGTAGTCCAATTTACAGTACTTGCTTCTTGGGCAGAAATTGATAGTAAACTTGATATTTGGATCCTCAGTGGACTCAAAAATGAGTCAGAAGAAAATTACATCTAAAATGTTTACAGAGATATCAAACTTCACTGGAAAAGTATTTTATATTGTAGTAGTATTTCACTTGTTTCTTTAAGTGATACAGTGCTTTAAGTAAATACTTTTGATTGCCTTAATCGTTCTAAAGAAAAATATTTGGATTCCAGTAATATTTAGGGACCAGAATACAGATAGAGCAGTGTCTATTAAACTAGGTAAATAATAACAGCTCCTTTTACAAATCAAGCTGTTGGGCTTTGTGATCTCTCTAGGACGTTAGCAGCAAAATTCTGCAGGCTCTGAAGAGAGTATCTGTTCACATATTGTATCTAAAAAATAAGGTGGGAATTAGCTCCATCGCTAAGTGAAAAGGACACTACATTTCCCCCAGAAGACCTTAAATTATAGTAAAACAATTCTGTTTTACTATAAACAGAAACACAGTATTTAAAATACTGGAAATTACAGCAAAATATCAGCACAGTTGTTTGAGTCAACTAGTTCAGACAGCACAGTGTCTAGATGTAAAAGACGATGGAGGTAACATAATTCTTATGTTGCATTTTGTGGATCTGTCTTGGCTTCCACTGTTTTAAGAACCTGACCCTACTACGAAGATACAATCAGTAGCTGGACATGTGAATCACCACCTTATATGAAATGAGTAGAGGGTGAGATCCAGCTCAGCAGCCCACTGAAAGACTGGCCCTAAATTCACTGCCAGAGCATCAGTGGAAGCAGTCACCTTCCCATGCAGGGAGCTGTTTCTCTATGCACCTACAATTAAGGTGCACATCTATCTTCACCAGGCAAACTGGATCCCAGCATGCAATGCCAACCAACACTCCAGGCAAGCCATAGTCACAACATCTGACTGATATTTAAGGGTTCTGTCAGCCAGTGTGTCTCTGTTACTTGTTTGCACCTCCTTGCCAGTCCACATTGCCCAAACAACTTTGATTTAATGCTGGACTATTATGCACAAAGAAAATAATTTTCCTTATTTTACATAAAATTAGACATACTGGGGAATATCTTTTACAGAAATCTTGCTGGCATACATTAAAGCTTTTCTAATCAGTTAAATATAACTAAACAATACCTGATAGCAAAAATCATAAGTCTGCCAATGAGGAATAATTGCATATTTCTAGAAATATAGTACATATTCAATAATGACATTCATGCTAATTCATGCACTGCATAATGTTTTCCACTTTGATGGTTATAAATTACACACTGTATCTTAATAACTTGGAAAAATGTCCTATCCCAGGAATAACAGAGGTTATATATTTTTATATATGCAAAACTTCAGGGCTGCAGCTGTTTGATTCTGCCAAATGTATGGAAAGTAAAAATATTTTAATCATCACTCTTGTGGTGCTCACCTATTATACAGCTCTGTGGTACTGTCTGCCATACCCTGGTGAACCCACAAGCCTCTAGAAAGTACAAATATATTTGAGCTAATCCTTGCCATCACCCAATGCTGCAAATCCAGAAGAGATGATCCACATCTTTGGATTCAAAATTGAGTCTTCTTTCTCTTAAATGCTTCTCCATCCATCAATGTCCACGCTTAAATGTAGGAAATTCCTTATGGATTCATTTCACTCTTGAGTTTCTGTTTACATGCTACTAGAGAAATAAGAGTAAAAAAGTAACCCAGAGAAATATGGCCAAATCATAGACTGGAACACACAAAAAAATTGAAATTGCTTTTGTCTTCCTTTTGCTTTCCCTTTCCTTTGTACTGACCATCAAAGTGATGGAAGTTTTTTGAAGAGGGGAGAGAAAGAAAGGATGAAGTGCCCCCACCATCTTCTGCAGTGTCTATCACCTGATAAAAGGTTTTTAAGCTGTAAGGTTCCCCAGAGATGATGCTGTCTTGGCAGACAGCTCCCACAAAGCCACCTCTGCAATATGGTGTGTTGGTTTTGATTACACCATTAAAAAGATGCTATTCCACTGGGTAACAGCTGAGGGGAGACAGGCTTGGATGATGACCAGTGTTAATTGTGGGCAGCAAGTGCATCTTTAAGCAGTAACCTGAAGCAAATCAAGTGGAAAAGGCTCACTACTGCTTGGAAGTTTAAACTGAGGAAAAAGATAGTGGTAGAGATTCAGGTATTAATGCATGGAATATGGAGTTTTATATAATGGAATTTGCAGTGATGTGTGTCAGGATGCAATAAAAGTTTACCTACAGAAAAACTGGCCAAATTGTAACTCAGCTATAATAAACAATAATAAAATAATAAAATAATAAAATAATATAACATAATATTGTCTCAGAGCAAGCCAAACTATCAGCTAGCAGAGCTGAAATGAAAATATTCAAAGCAACACAAGTTTTAGTAAATCAAAAGTCTACAGATGCCTCTTGTGGTATAAAAGGTAATTTTCAGGTATATAAATAGTTAATACTTACAGCTGAGAGCAAGACATGGAGAACAACCTTTCCTTTCAGGTGTCACTAAAATAAAGCATAGATTTTTAGAGAGGTTTCTGTAAGTAAAGCTGCAGGGTTCATCCTTAAAGCATCAGAGGCTTTTCATTGCTGCAGCACAAAAGCTTAGGGACACTCCCCAACAATTCAGCCTCTGGTGGGAAATAAAGTTTCCACAAAATCAACTTTCTATTCAAGTAAAAAATCAAATCGATTATGCCCAAAGCATTCAGGTTTCCTTTGGGAAAATCAAAACAAAATATTTTTTTCAGGCTTGACCCTAAACAAATGTTTCAGTTTCTTTTTTAGCTGAACAAGAATATTTTATTTCAACTCAGTTCAACTTGAAACTGCCTCTGGGTGTGCTGTCATGGTGGATATAAATTGCCCAGGAGAATCTGGGAATAAGACAATTTGCATCCAGCCCGTTAGCTGGCTCATAAGAAAATATTATTAATTCAACAATATTAAAGCATCATGTTTAGAACAACAAGACTGAAGCAATATATTTGGATACTTCCAAACCAAAGTCCTTCATAACTTTGCCTCCCTCTAAAAAATTTTGATATGGGGAAAGAAATGTTTAAACAGGTAAAATTGCACATGAGAAAAATAAAAAATTCTGACTCTAATTTTCAGTCAACTAATCATTCTATCAGTTTTATGCCAGAGTAATTCCATTGAGCTTCACTGGAATGACACAGCCTAAAGGGTTAAAGGTACAGTATTACCAATCTGACCTCGAGCATGGATTTAGGCAGATAAAAGGTGTGTCCTAAGGTGCTCTGGGTTCTCTCTCATCTATAACTTCCCCTTGGCACTGTAACTATGCACAGGAACTTGTAGATCCTGAAATAATAGCATCGTTAGAAAGGATAACACCCTACAAATCCTCAGGAATATGGTACATCTTTCCAAAACTCATGGATGAATGAAACAATCAGGTTTTAAAAAGAAAGCTATGAATTCTGTTTCACCTCGGATTGAACAGAGATTGAAACTAGCATTAATGTGTGGGATAGACATGAAAATTTAGAGATCTTCAGTTATATATATATATATATATATATATATATATATATATATATAGTATACAAGTACTTAGAAATTACATTTAAGAGGATTTTATGATAGGTTCTCTGGTTTACAAACTGTTCAGGCATATATTAATTTAGATATATATATATATATATAAAGATATATATATATATNTATATATATATATATATATATATATATATATATGTATGTATATTTTCTTATTACTTAGAAATTATAGCTAAACTGAGTTTTTCCAGCTTTCCCTTCAGCCTCAACTTTTAATATTCAGTTTTCATTCAAAAGCAACCCAGAGCAAATAAATACAGACATCTAGTTTCACATCAAAGACCCCTGCAACACCATGCCAGTTACTCACCTCATGTTTGCAGTCATCAGGACACAGGGCTCTGGTGCTGCAGCACCCAGCTTGCTCAGAATCATCACCTGTGAACAGCAAGGTTGAGGGATGCTGTTCCAGCATAGTTTTCAGAAGGCTCATGTCAAGCTGTTCTCACCTCACTGCAATGGCATGGATCTAGAAGGCTGACAAGTCCAGAATGAGTTCAACTGCATCAAAAAGAGAGGACGGTTTTTAGTTATTGGTTCTGGTTTGTAATAGCTAGCCTCTGATTCACATCCAACAGCCCCTGATGAATGCAAACACAGACACCAATCTGTAGTAGTCTCAACCACAACACAAATTATTCACATTCCACTTGCCTCACTTTTAGATATTAGAGTGATTGATTAACATCCGCAGTTACTATTACATTTGCTGATTACAAAATCTATTCAGAACACCAGAGAGCAATGACAAACTCAGAAACTGAGGATTTTTACACCTTAAACAATCCTGAGAACACCAAATTTGAATTATGTAAACTAGGTTTTTAACTTCTCCTCTTTCACATGAAAATTGTTGAAAAGCAGCATTTCTAGGAAGCATTTATGTGCACCAAGCATAAAAACCCTGTCCAAGAGAACAGAATAATGTCCTATAAAAAAATTCCAAGCAGAGCTAGGGAACAGGGGAGGGGCTGTCACGAATTTGTTACATTGGTGCCTTCCAGAAATTAAAAAGCAATATGCAGTCTGTTCCCATGCCAGCTGTTTTCCTAGAGACTGCTTTCTGTCTACCACAGACCACATAATTGCCATTTTAAGCTAAGATTTCACTTAATTTACACAGGCTGGGACAGACCGCAGCTGTCTGCTCTTAGCGCAGACGCGCTGCCTGGGACTGCAGGTCGCAGTGAGCAAGGCTCTGCTGCTATCCACTTGCAAACTCGTTAGTTTAAAATGGAAAATCATGGCACCTACAGTTTTCCAGAGCTTTCCACCTTTAGGAAAAGCAATGGTCAAGTCTGGTTTGGACATGACTGATCACCTAGGAGTTGTTCCAAACTGAATTCTCAATGTAGAGCTCATGCTTGGTTTTGCAGACAGATGAGAGTCCTGGTACTTTCTTTTTGTTGGGCTCTGCAAATGAAGGTTGGACACATCTTTTGCTTGATACCTGCCATAATACTATATGGAAGGAAAAAAAATCAGGCTCTTGGGAAGAGGTGAGATGAGTGACTTTTGCAGTCAAAATAAAATAAAAATCTTGACATAAATAATACAATAAACTCGTGATCAGTTGCACATGCAACGCACTTTGCTAGAACACATAAGATCACAGATTTTTTTTCTGATACATCAACCTACACAAAACTGGTTTCTGATTTATCCATGCATCATCTGCAAACCTTAAAAAGAATTTGATATGGTTGTGCCTCAGTTTCGCATATGCCAAATTACTTCCTGTGAGGACAGCTAAGTTTTCAGAAGTCACTCAGACCTTGTGGTAGATACTCATGTGTTTACAGTTACACTAAAGTAAACAGTGCAGTCCTTAAATGAAGAACTTATGACTGTAGCTGCAAAGGTCTAAGGCAAGGCAACGTTCAGCTGACTTTTACTTCACTTTTATGTTCTTGATGTCCAGAGTAGAGCTGCAGTTTTAAATGAGTCATTGTACACCCCCAACCATAGGGTTTGTCAAGGTCCAACTCAGGTCAAGTTTGGAAGAAATTAACTTCTTTAGCTGGTATGCAAATATGGCTATAAGTCAATTATCTTACTTCATAAATAGTGAACAGCCAGGGCTCATTGATCTCTCCTGAAGGGTAGTGGACTGTTTGCCAAGGTCTTTGCTTTGAGTAGTAGCTCTCAAGGTTACTCCTCAGAGTTGAGAGATTCCTTGACTCAGGAGATTCTCAGTAAGTGATTAATAGCATGCTAAACTCCAAAATCTTAGCTAAGTGACACAAAGGATTGATTGTGCACATATAATCCTTGAGACATAAAACATTGCCTAAGTCTGGGACTAAGTTTGGAGTTAGGCACACATAAACTCCCTTCTGAGAAGGAGCTTAGAACACAAGGAGGTTTTTTCTGAACCTCATGACTCAACAAGAGTCTCTCTTCCTGCCTGTTTTGTCTGACTCTGTCCTCAATGCCATAAATAATCAACTGCACCTTGTCATCAGATCTTACTAAACCCTTCTCACATTTACCATGAAGCTTGGCAAAATCACTGGGTTATATCAATAAACATATTGCTACTTCTTTCTTAGGAGTGACATCCATGACACACCCACGACTGCTATGCTATAGCAGACAGAGCCCAGAGCCAGCCTCCTACTAAAACAGTAGGGCACTTGGGCTCCTCACAAAGGTTGTATGTAGCCCTAGCCAAGGGGTCCTGTGCCCTGTTCTGCACAGTAGCTGCATTCAGCAGAACTGGAGCCCACCCTCTGCATCAGATATGCACTCTCATGTTCATGGGGATGGATGCCAAACCTTCTGGAGCATGGGTACCAAATTTACTTGGTGAACACAGTAACCCATTCGGTTATTGTATGAAAGGAGAGAGGAAAGTTCTTTTTCTGGCTTCTGGGTGAGACTGCCAGGGCTGAAACACTTGCTAAACTCAGCATGATCACCTTTTTTTACCAGTTTGTGTTGTCTGATAGTCTTCTGGCCTCACCTATGGGACTGGGAAACTTTAGTACTGCAACGACATTTCCAAGTCCCACATGGGCACCAGTGGAAGCTACTGCCTTGTCTGCCCAGTCTTGCTGGGTTCATCTGTGAGTACAACTGTCTCCAAAGTTTACTGTGAAAGGCTTTCTCTAGCTGTGCCCCACTGATCTAAACGGGCTTCAGTGTGTGCTCCGAGGCTCACTTTGGTATGGTGTGGGTCCATGAAGAGATTAGCACATGTCAGCTGAGCTGTAGTAACCCTCCATATGTTTGAAGCTCCCTAGGATCTGCAGCAGGGTAAACAGTGCTGCACACAGAGCAGCCTGCAGCTCCCAAGGACCTGCCAGGACCCACGGGTGCCCTGTGACACTGGCACTTCTCTGAGCTCTCACTCTAAACTGCCTGAGCCTGCCTCTTTAAAGCCACTGCTCTCAGCATGAGAGAAGTCTGTAATATATTTCAGGATGTGCAGGTGAGCAGCAGACCCACTCAGCCAAAATTTTAATAACTGTAGGTCTCAAAAAGTCTGGGAGCTGTTTTTTTATGTGACAAATTGAAGAGTTGGCTATTTCTTCCTGTGTGTCCTGGCAGCAGAGGTACATGACAGAAGCAGTGTCAGGCTGTTTTGTTTTCCCTTTGCTCTATACACACTTCGCTTTACAGAACTGCTTCATTTGGGACACCTGCTTGGGACAGGCTGCTGGAGTTAGCTGCTACATCCATCTCCTGACAAATGAGTATGACATCAGAGTGACTTCAATTTTTTATAAATATCTATTGTCAATTTGAGTCACACGTCAGCACAGACCTGGAGTCAAAACTGAAGGGGACTGAATATTATGCCTGCCTTTTAAGGCTGGTGGAATTTCCTCTCTTTATGGAAAAAACTTCTCACTTACATATTTCACTAGTATCTACCATCGCAAGCCTTAGATTTTGTCTCTCTCAAGCCTGCATCCTGTAAATCCCTGTAATTGCATGCAGCTGTTTGTGAGCCATCCGCTGCAAATTGAAAGCGTGCATTGAAAAAGCCCCCAAGCAGAGAACTCTGAAATAAGCACTGAAAAAGCTGCTGGTTTACGAAAAGGACCCTCTCTGCTCTGCCCTCCCCTGCCCTCCTCTGCTGTCGCTACCTTGTGGTTTATGACATCCAGAGAGTGGGAGGTCTGACAATCCGAAGAAGGCAGCAAGGAAGAAATTCCATTCCTGTTGCAATCAGTAATTCCTCCGTGGAGGCTGCTTTCTCGTGAGTGTGTGCACGCACTTTCTTTTGTGTCACTTCAAGAAGGGCTCTGATATTATTATTACTTTAAATATAGCTTGCCCTGGGGCGGGGAAACGCACAAGGAAAGAGCCGGCAAGCAGCCTATCTCTCAGAAGAAAAGAGCAAGCCTCACAGCACAGGAACTGGCTTCACTCAAGTGTGCAGTTTAGAAGTCAAAAAACTATTTGAAATACCACCATTGTGGAGGAGGCTGAAGAAAAAAAAGACACGGAACTGGCTAAACACAGCGAAGAATACAGTAAACCAGAGTGCAAAGTGCATCTATTTGCAGTTTGAAAGTGGGCTCTGAAGTGCAATGTAAGTCTTCCTTAAATTGTATTCTTTTATAACAGTATCTAGTTGTTTAATTTCCATTCTGAAGCCATGCTGGGCCGAAAGGTACAATTAGCTACAAAAATCAGCATGGGGCAGAATGTGTAGTCTCTGATATAAGGCAGAAAATGATTCTGAAATACAGCAGAAGACAGAGACTATCAGCCGTATTATGGAAGATGCACTATAAATAAGAGCATATTTAATTATTTCAAGAGAAAGATGCTGGATGGAATCACTAATCAACTTCTTTAATAGATAAGCAAGAGCTTTGCTGTTTAATACGGCAAGCTATTTTAAACTGCTGTGTTTAAAATGGTGTGATTACAGTTACCAATAGCAATAAGATGTAGCTCCAGAGGAGAGTCCTAGTGGTTGCAAAAGTTTTATATCTTTTATTTCTCCAACATTTTTGCTCTCTCAAGCCTCAAGTCCACATTCTGTGTCCTACATCCTGGTTTTACTTTTCAGCTGGATTTTCAATATATGCCAACACTGGACTTCCTATGGAACTGAAAACAAAACATTTCAGCTTTCAGAGTAATTCTGATATGTTTTTCTACATCATACTAAAATACAAAATAGTGGCAAAAATACAGTCGACAAAAGATTGTACTCCCTCAACTTCTGGCATGGAGAGCTGAGGAATATAATGCCCAATGGTGACAAAGGGTGATAATTTCCTGTTTTTCACAATTTGTCTCTGTGGTTTTGGACTTAGCAATGGATATTCTTTGTGATGGAGAGAGCTCTGTGAACCCAACTGCAAACTCCTTCATACAAATAAATCATGAGAGAAGATTCTACAGAAATGTTTATGGAGCTGGAGAAATTAATATATCACATCTCTGCAACTTGACTGTGAACTCTGACAACCTAACCAATCTTTCATGTGAAAGTAACATGAGCCCACCGTGCTGCCTTTCACAGAAAAACTGGCCAGCTTTGCTGACGGTGATAGTGATTGTTTTAACCATTGCTGGAAATATCCTTGTCATCATGGCTGTTTCACTGGAGAAAAAACTACAGAATGCCACTAACTATTTTCTAATGTCACTTGCAATAGCTGATATGCTGCTGGGTTTCCTTGTCATGCCTGTATCCATGTTAACCATACTGTATGGTGAGTATTAGCTGTGTAACCTACTGCATGTATTGACAAGCCTTAAACATTGCATGCAATAACATCTTGTTGTTATTATGATTTCATTCTCTTACCACAGAAAATTATTGTTACTCCATATAAGTTGAAATATATGTCACTGGTTAATGGATGGAACAGGTGAAGTACTTGAATATTTTTCTACTTTATATTTCCAGCTACAGAAACACAGTCCATAGCATTAGTTTATTACTCAGGTGTCAGATGAGTTGTCTCAAAGTGTAGATGAAGATGCTTTCAGATTTTTTCCCCGGCTTATAATTTTCATATTCCAAATGAAAATGTAGGGTCCTGCCAGGGTCCTTTGCTCTGCAAATATGCACTGAAACACTAATGACTACTTTTAGATTCAAAGTAGGAAGCCACCTCAACTATTTTTAACGAAGTAATAGAAATGTAAATAATTTTATTATCACTAATAACGTGCTTAGACATATGCTTACTAGCATATGCTGGAATAAATATTGTAGGAGTTAAGAAATGGATGGGCATAAATTCTGCCTGTTTAGTAACACTTACAAATGCAAAACTATCATTTCTTAAGAGAAGTTGTTTAAGTTAATAATGACTCACAGTTCATGCCCTTGCAGGTGATTTATGGCAGATCTTTCTTCTCATTTTCACCAAAATCATTTGCAGCACAGTTCACGCAGGAACAAGCAGCACCCTATGTGTCCAGCAACACCAATTTTGTCAGGCTGTTACTGTCCCTAAACTTGAGAAATGAGTCTTCCAGTGCTACAGCTGAATTGCTACAGTTCAGAAAGAAGCTAGACATTGTCAGGAAGAAAGTGAGATTGTTTGGAAGGATTTCTATTAACTTCACTACTTTGGGACTTAAGGTCCAAACATGAGCCTGTGATTTAAGGGAGATTTAATCCAGAAAGTTGGAAGTCTATTTTCCATTTTCAGTATCTCTACACAGATCGCCCCCAGTAGCATTTGCAGACTGCATTTGGCATCAGTGATGGTGCAACACTGTGATTTACTGTGTTAGTGTGCGATTAGCTTTGGCGGGAGAAACAGCGTGAAACAGAAATTGTCCGATGGGTGAGATTTGAGTCGTGCGTGATTCCCTGAGACAAGCAACAGGGACTCCTGCTGGCCAGGCTCCGCTGCCGAGGGAAGAGACGCCCGAAATCGTTGTCTCGGGAGGGATCTGGGGGCTGGGGCGCTGGATGCCTTTCCCACACGGCGGGAATCCGGACCCTCGTCCCGGGAAAAGCTGCGCCGCCCTCCTTGGCCACGGCCGGGGCACGGGAGCCGCAGGGCACCTGAAGGCAAAGGGAGGGGCTGTGTGGCTTTGCTTCCTCTCTCCCTGCCTCTTCCCTTGCAAGACCAGGAATGGAAGCAGCATAACTTGGGGTGAAAAATCATCTGGTGGCACACACTGGTACCAGGAGGACCATCTTGGTGAGGTGCACCATCAAGCTCCAGGACGACCAGTGATGGCACGGAGGGGAATCCTCCCTTCCACAGGAGCATTTTCTTGCCCACAACTGCTCATCTTCAGCCACATCATCTACGCTGACAGTCTTGAGCTCAAACTGGAGGCCTTTGTGCACACCTGCTGTGCCAGGACTCCTCCAAGGCTGGGGAACAAGAGTGCTCCACCACCCCTTCTGCAGCCCCTTGAAGGGCTATGGTGATTGCGTGGCTCAAAGGAGAGATGATTGTTTTGAGAGCTTTATAGCAACTGTGGGAAATTCTGGTTTGGGTGCCCAGCCATGCCAGCCAGCCTGTGCCAGTCTGCACCCTTTGGGCTGGGCAGGGTTCTCCATCCACAAAGCAGTCCCAGACTCTGCTGGAAAAGGCAGCACCCAGTAAGTCCTGCCAAGGTGGACGTGTCTACAGTGGAGAGAACATCTTCCAGGAAGTTATCTACACCCTTCCTAAGGGTGCACCTTATTGCATCCAGTTTTCTCTTCTCATATACTTTCTCCTTTCTTGAATCTGTAGTTTCTAAGGAAGTTTACCTGGCAGATGCTGTTTTATCCCTGCCCCATCCTGGTTTATTGCAAAGATGAAAGTCTAGAAGGATATGACAAATGTGTTCCCAAGGGTCACTGAAGCAAGGGAACAGATGTATGTTGTCAAGTGTAAAAATACTTAAAACAGTTTTCCCTGTGCAAACTGCCCTGGCCTGACAGAGAGATGCTACTGGGAAGTCACACCCCTGAAAGCCAGCCATCACATAACACACTCCAGGGACCGGATTTCCCAACTGAAGACCTGAAAACATGATAAAATACATCCATAAATACTTTATGGCTTGTTAAGGTCAGTGTGTATTACAGCAACCCAAGAACACCAAGAGAAAGGTCTCCTCAGTACTCACTGAGACTAAATGTAATTGGGCACAGACCTACCTCCTCCACCTCTCTTTCCATTCCTGCTGTTGCAAATCTTGTGCTATATCTCCAAATGAGACAGGCACTCCTCAAAATACAAACATATTCTCACAATATGAGTTTTGGCATTGCCCCATGCCACATTATCATGGGCAGCTTGAGTAATACGCTCTAAACTAAATCACTACAAGATAAGGACCCTAATAACTGCAAAACTAGCTCCAAGGAGAGCTATTAGTGGTTCCCTGCAGGAATAGAAGGCTTTTGAATGGGGGTCCTGCAGGGCTCTCCTTAGCCTGGGTCTGTTCAGTATTGCTTTGAACTACATGTATAGTGTGTGAAGTGGGAGCACACACAGCTTTCCAAAAGCACCAAGCTGGGAGAGGTTACAAGCACTCAGAGGGACAGGATGAGAATCATCAACAAGAATCTGGACCCCTGAAGAGAAAATCTGAAACCAACAAATACCATCCAGTGAGGATAAGTGCAAAGGTAAAGAAGCAAACCAACTTCTGCTGTTGAAATTTGTCCAGGCTTCAAGAATGCTGAACAAGATCTGGCTGTCAAAATGTATCATTAGCTAAACGTGCTTCACTAGCATGATATTTTAATACAAAAGGCACTTACCATTCCAGGTTGTGTAAGTAAAGACATTACCTTTAATATCTGCGAAGAAATCTTGTATTTCACTTAGCAGTCAGGAGGCCTTTGCAAGAGTACTGAGTCCTGTTTTAGTCACTGAAAGATAAATAAGATGCAGATAAATCAAACACATTCCAGGGCAGAAAATGAAGAAGGAAAAAGTTTTCAAAGCATGATCTGTAAGAAAAAGACAAACTACTAGGCTTTTCTTAGACTGGAAGACAAAAAAATAAACAGAATAAAAGTAGGCAAGCCATGACAGTCATCTCCCAACGGCCTTGAGAAAGGAAAGTAATCAATTAATCTTCATAGGTAATGGAAAGAACAAGGAAAAAGTAAGGGCTTAATTTGGAGCAAAGAAGCTGTAGGTTGGATATTGGTAAACACTAATGCATCTGCTTTGGATTGCATTCCCTGGAGGAGCCTATCAATATTCATTGACAGAGGGAATATCCTTATCTAGGTATGTGGTAGAGGCCTAAAGACAGGTGAGATAAATATCACTGGTATGCAACAAAATAATTTTTCTTCTTTAGCTTCCATTAAATCCTAAGTTTTACTTTCAGACGGCAGCTTTACATATCAGCAGGTGTTTATAATGCAGGAATTATGTGGATAAAAAGTCCTAAAGCAAAACTGAGAACTTGCAGATTTACAATGACAAAATTGCTTCTCTTTTCATAGATTTGCTGCCAAAAATGTTTAATCATAGCACCAAGCACTAGCTTTACGCAAATAGAATTAAAAACAAAAAACATATGCTGCCTGTAGCCTGGGAAAGAAGCAGAGTTAACCCCAAAAAGCAACAGTTAGAAGGCTGCAAACAAATAAAAATATTTTCTTAAAACAGTGTCAGGCAGCTTCTAAATGTATCACTTACTACGACTTAGTACTTACTACTATCCTCCTAGAAGGATATATGCACTAGGACGTGTGTCACAACAAAAGATACATGCCACATCTCTAGCTGACGCCAAGTTTCTCTTGTGCAGGATACGAATGGCCTCTACCCAGAAAGCTGTGTGCCATTTGGATCTACCTGGACGTGCTGTTCTCCACCGCATCCATCATGCACCTCTGTGCCATCTCACTGGATCGCTACATCGCCATCCGCAACCCCATCCACCACAGCCGCTTCAACTCAAGAACCAAGGCTTTTGCCAAAATAATTGCTGTTTGGACCATATCAGTTGGTAAGTGAGGCAATATTTCAGCACGTAATTGCAGATTTCCAGCTTTTTAGAGGATTTGACATGTATACTGCAGTATAAAACTTTATTCTCTGCCTGCAGTATTTTGCTTTCCACAGTCTAAGTGCTGTAATGTAGTAATTATGCAATGGAAATCAATGACAATGGGAAATGGAGGAGAACTGAGCGGCACTGGAAGAATATACATCAGTGATAGGATGACTGCATTCAAGTTCATTCCAAAGATATGTTGATTTCCCATATTGGTGACCCATCATTATCTAAACATATGAAAATAAAAAAAAAAATCAACTGGAAAAGTATTTCCCTGTTTTATGTAAGTCAGTTGTTGCCAATTTCTTATTTGGGTAATTTGCTTAGAGATTTTTCTCATGGGCAGATCTTCTCTGCCTGTCTCGGTGTGTATGGTGCGGAATTGATGCATCCTATTTAGGAGAAAACAGATACTGTGTACAGTAAGAATGAGAGGAGTCTCTCCAGAGGACAGTTCATAGTTACAGTCTAAAATAGGTGTTGTGAATGACCCAGTACACAAATCTCTTTTTGCACTGGCAAAACCCATAACCTTGAAACTAGGCAGGGGAGCACTGATCTTTCATTCCCATGGTGGCAGCATGTCCAGAGCAGTCTTATGGCATGGGAGTTGGAAGAGTTTAGTGCCCGATGCCATCAGGGATTTCCTCACACACCTGGGGTGGAGGCTCTCAAATGCTTTGAAAACATAATTCTCTTTCAGTGCTTGTGGTTTTGTAGACCCTTGAGCATTGGCAGCTCACTTATTCAGAGGCAGGAAAAATTCACTCTTTTGCCCTAGAAGAGATATGAGTTGTCAGCAATCAAAGGTAATTAGCTCTTTCCCTGACTAATACAAATTATTGCAAGTGGTAACAGTGATCCCTTACCACTCTTCCCAGAGGAGGGAAAGGAGATGATGTCTAACATGCTGCCAGCCTGGCACTCTAAATTGTCTCCTGACTTCCCTCTTGATCCTGGCCCACAGTGTGAGATAAAGCAGTCTAGGATTGTTAGGATTTAAAATAGCTGTATCTTCCGCTGCACAGCAAGAAATCGTGGGAGTCTTCACTCAACAGGAGGACAGTTCTGCATTCTCCATGACCCGATGAGGCTCAACAGCATCTGGCTCTGCAGTGCATTCAGCTGATCAAATGTAGATGTCTAGCACAGGCCAGGTGAACTCCACCCTAAAAATACCTAGCTCTCAACTATAAAGGAAGCTTATAGCAACTCAGATGTAGATGTCTTCATTTAGATTAGATGAATCATATCTTGTCTCTTCTACAGTCACACTTTTTTTAATCCAGTAGAAAACGTATTACCTACTCTGTCCAGTTTTTCCACTTTTGGAACTACTAAGTGCAAGTATTTTCAGTGCCTTTCTCTATATAGCCTAAAGAGTTCAAGCATTCCTTAAAATTGCGCATACTGTATTTTTCTGCACTTGTGTGTGGTGCCTTGTGCTTAGTGTGCGTGAAATTACTGTCCTTTTTAAACACAAATTTACAGAATTATCAGAATGACCATTCTAGGGGCAAAACAATGGTCCACGTTGCTCAGCATCTTTTCTCAGACAAGGGCTTACTGACAGAGTACCTGAATTATCTCACTATTAAAAGGAATCGAGAAAGGAAGTGTTATTTTAGCCCTATTAGTTAGAACATGGTTTATGTCCTGTAGCAGGAAGTTTATTTCTTTGATAGCTTGATATTTTGTTTCAAAAGTAATGGCTTTTCTTTGCAGTAATAACTAGTAACATATCAATTGTAAAAACACCTTTTCTGCTCTCTGGAGAAACTATCTTCTAACAGTGATGAGATGAGTCAGAGATGTTACTTGTTATTATCATGGCAAGTGATAGCAATATGTCCTATTTATATAACTCTGAAAAATACAACTCCTTATTTTATTTGAAACCACCCAAGTGTGGCGGGAGTGAAGAGGACAGAGCACCTGGATAAGGACATGTATAAGGGCACAGTGGATGTTAGGAAAATAGGAAGGGTTTTAGGGTAGCTCCATCTCATTCATATATTTCATGTCACCAAAACAGTGAGAAGGTTAAATAGGTACAAAGTAATATTGGCAAGCACACTTAGATGGGCAGGAATGAAGTGGTGCTCGGCTGATTTCTGGTCTCATGGAAGCAAAGGGCATGGAGAGACCAGCCAAAGGAAGACTGGTTGTTTTCCAGCCTGGCAACAAGCTATGGCAAATGGATGTGCTCCAGAGGACAGATAAGAAAGCAAACACATAGGAAGAAGCTATAAGAAACTGATGAGCCAGTCACTGCCAGGCTGGACTAAGTTTGCACTGTGCCACATTGCTATTTGAATAGAATAAAAAAAAAAGCCAGTATTATAAGGAATCTTGACAGGTCCTAGATCACCCATGCAACCTGCTGTCTGTCAGTCATCAACCCTTATCCTCCTGATCTGCCACCATCCAGCTAAGAATATGTAGAAAATGGGTTTCTGAAGGTGCTTTCTAAATCACTTACCAAGAGGAAATGCTTTCTGAACAAAGAGGTGCTCCATGTATCATTTACCAGCCTCCAGGCTCTCAGTGCTACTTAGAGTGACAGGGCTATAAATGATTTAACTCTTTGCATTTTCACACAGCTATGTCTGAGAACTCTCACTGGGATGACTGAGGTGAGACACTGGCATAGATTGCCCAGAAAAGCTGTGGATGCCCCATCCCTGGAAGTGCTCAGTGCCAGGTTGGATGGGGCTCTGAGCAACCTGGTCTAGTGGAAGGTGTCCCTACCTGTGGCAGGGGAGCTGGAGTGAGATTATCTTGAAAGTCCTTTCCTACCCAAACCATTCTATGATATCTGGCACAAGCAGAGCTGGTGTTGGGCACAGCACACCCTCCACAGTGCCTGGTGTGGCTACCATCTCACTTACAGATACAAATCCAAGGTTTTGCTCTCCAGCCTCACTTACATAGATACCCTTTGACTTCCCCATGTCCCTACAGTTTGCAGCTGAGCTGGTGACCTGTGAACTTTCGTGAAGTATGAGATGGAGAGTTAGCAGAGGAAGAGGGGGGAAACAGCCAACAGTTGGGTGTTGACAGCACATTTAATCAGTTCTACTGACCATGCAAACAGCTCAGCTGAACTGAACAGCACTGATGGACATATAGGGCTCTCAGATGCTGCCTTCTTCAACCATCAATATGGAAACAAACCATTTAATCCTACCACTTATCTTTCAACCTTCTGTCTTTCAAACTCACTCTTTCTAGAAGGGGATCTTTCTTCTGTTGCCATCAGAATTTAATTTCACTAACAGCCTTTGACAAAAAATATTGTCATGGATTCCTGGAAATCCAGGAACATTATATCAGCTGGATTACCCTTATCCACTCCGCACTGACTCCTGCAAATACTTCTATCTGATTTGCGGGGCCTGAAAAAGCTCTTCCAGTGCTTCCCAACCCACCTAGATTATAACTTCCAGTGTATCCAACTAATTACACTTTTGTTGACTAAATTTGTATTTTTCCTTTTATTCACTAAATATGCAAATACATTCAATCAATTTTAACCAAAGGCAACCAGTGATCTTCCTTCCATTGGCTTCAGTGACATATGAAGCATTTATAAAACAGCAGAAAAAAAAGCACAGATAGTTTAATTTACTTGACTTCTGAAATCTTGATTTTCTCAGTTTAAAAAAAGTAAATTGTGCTAACATTTGTTTTTGCATTCAGTGGAAGAAGAGCATTTAGTCAGAAGCCTTTGTTTCACTAGACCATGTAATGCCACAGGCAATTGGTTTAAAAGAGATTCTAATTACTGTAACAGATTCTAATTGTGTCTTTAATTCTTAAATCATCCAGTATGCACAGTGGCTAGATAATTAGATTATTTGTAGCTGTTGAAGGCAAAAGCTCATTAAACCCTCAAAATTATTCCGTTTGTTTTAAAGCGCAGAGGTCATTATTGAGAACAGGTGTAAAAAGCCAAAGGATTTCCCCCTGCTGGAAAAGAAGTAGAATTTTGAATAGAACTGGAATCTATAGAATTGTAAATAGAGCCTATACTTAAAAATACATGCCAAATACCTTTGAGTTCTAAATGGGCCTACCAAATGCATTGCTCTGCAAGAGGCCAACAGTGCCTCAATCCCTCATTGAAAGGGTAACATAAAAGAATCACAGGCATGAATGTTAAGTCCTTATATATAACATTTCTCAGTTCTTATTTCTCTCTATTCCTCTGTTAATGGTCTAAGTAATGTGAAGTCTGATGAAGCTCAAGCACTCTAAGCTGAGATTTCTCTTACCATTTCTCACTCAGCCTACACATCTGATCACTGCCTTCAGGCAGTCTCTGCACTCCCCAGTCACTAAAAGCTTAGATTTATTCAGTACTTTTTATGTAGAAAAATCCCCCCAACATGGATCTGGATGAAGCTGGTAAAATACTTCCCACCACATAACTCTAAAATTTTGCCATTCCTTTTGAGGCTTTGAAAACGAGAAATACTGTAGCATGCGAAGCAACGTTCTCCAAAGTGCAGGGTGAAGTTAGCTCCAGGTGTACAAATCAAGCCCAGTGCAACTGAGCCCCCAGCTAATTTGGCAGTGTGACATTTTATGCTGACACAGAGGCTTACACCTCCTTCACAGGCAGCCTGCAATTTCTCTGCATGACTTCTTACTGCCTTACAGCATATGAAGGGCCAGGCAAGCAGCAGGGATTGGGAGAGTTCAACCACTGGTGCCTCTGAATTGTGTTTTGCTGACAGCTTTGGGGTCCTTAGGCTCAGTCTTCTTTCTGTCAAGGATAGCTTTCATTTGAAAACTCCTTTACAGTTTTCAGAAGGCACAAACAGCTAATAAACTGCAGGCTGATCCCTGTCCTGAATCCTCTACACATTCATTTCTTCCAGGTGATGTAATATGCCATTTCAATCAAGTCTAATTTACTTCCTATGCTTTGGCATAGGAAGAGATCATTTGTTAAAACATGGAATATACTGCCAAAATATACAAAATTGCAAATAATTACACACGGAACTGTACTCTGGCAATATAGATTCAAAGCTCAGCACCTAAATTTGGAAGTGCAGGAGCTAAACTTAAAATATCTACTACACTACCCACTGACCCATTTAGTCATTCACTCTGCTTCCATTTCTTCTTGAAGACTTTGACTTTTGACTTAGCACTCTTAGAAGGTTTTAATAATCATTTCCCTAGAGAACATTTCTTTTATTTTTATTATACTCATTAAACCTTCTCTCAGAGAGTGAACATACTGTTTGCTCACTCCAGCTGCAGGATCTCAGAGACAAACATTGTAGGTTTTGTGTTTGAGCAACCCTAGGAGCTTCACCAATTGTGGATGCAGGATGCCATAAAAATAAAACGAAGTTGTAAAAAATTGTCGCACAACATATAGAGAAATTTGCATCAATTACAATGAAGGATGTTGGCATGAAATTTCATTAATAATTAGATCTTCAGAAACATCTCAGAAATAGAATCTTCACTGAATTTTTTTCATGGAGACACAATGTATGACGCTTCATTGCCATACTAATCACTCCTACAGCAGTGACAACTAATGAGAACAAGCTTTTCATGTACAGGTTATCTAGGGGAAGGTTATGTTGGTTCCATGGAAAAGGAATATGCAGTGTGTAATGCACATTTCTGAGTTGACTAGCACATGTTTTCTGGTCATGAGGCATTACTTAAGATGGCTCTGAGAAAGACATAAATATCCTATTTACTTTGATGTAAATTTTCCCCATATTTCCCCTTTAACATAACCCTTTAATTGATTTGTTCTTCCCAGAAGAGTGAACACATCCATCAGACCATCAGCTTACCACATGTATTTCCCTCCTATAACTGTGAAGGTTTAAAAACCTTGCATTTTGAAATTGTATATGTTTGTTCATCTGACAAGGAGGTGTTACTAACATTATACTTCATGGGAAAAAGTGCTTAAAAGAATGTTAATGATGGAGCTACTTTCAAAATTCTCCAGATTTGGGAACACAGACATAAAGAAATGAGACACAGACATGTGTCCATAGGGATGCATTTGCAAACCAAAGACACTGAGCAACCCAGCATTCATCTGGATGGGAGAGAATACATTATACCTGCAAATATGTGTTATCAAAGAAAGAATCATTATTATGTATATATTTACCATGTTCTTAGGGTAGTTACATCAGGATGAGATGAAGGGTTTTGCCTATGAAAAAGGCACGCACTTATTTTGTGAGCACTCTTTTTGCAAGAAGCAATCTCCTTTTCAGCTGAAAAAAGAAATGAGAGGTGTCATGACATTATTGTGTGGTATTTCTTTTGAGTTTGGTTTTATTTTTAAAGGCAAGTTATAAACAGTAGAGCTGTATTTTTAATAGAAAAGAACCTGTTTAGTCAAGGTGCTGATGAAAAAATTAGTTGTCTTATTTTAAAAAAAACACTTGTCTTTGTTTGGAAGACGATAAAGGACCATGTTCTTCTTCCTCTTGAAGCTACCAGCAAAGTAGCATAAAGTTCATTTGGACCAGGCCTGTCCTATTATGAAGGTTTTTTGAATGAATAAGTAACTGTTGGTGGGTGCCAATATGACTTATAATCAGCCAGTCTCTCTTTGTAGGGTACATCAGAGTAAATTGAATATTTTAAGAAAAAAGGCAGCATCTCTAGTCGGAGGAGCTGGATTTCTTCATAGAAAATGCCACATGCAACACAAATGAGAACAAAAGAAGTGTACGAGGAATTATGCTGGGATTCATAAATTCTGTTGTCTGTACACTGTGACTACATTTAATCACCTTCTAAATTAAAAATGGTGCTGCTTAAGTAGCATTGTATTGCATAAAAGAAAATGTAAATAAAAGAGAAAATTTCATTCATTTTAAAATTATACAGAACAATATCACAAGTTCCTTTATTTATTATATTTGACTTAAGTCAGATGCTGTGTTTTATGATGTTATGAAAGGTTCATCTATCACCGAATTCTTTAAAATTAAAGCCTTATGTTTATCCTTACCAGCAGGAACATTGCAAACTATTGAATACCCAGGCTGCAATTAACTTTCCCCACACATTACCTGGCCTGTGCCATTGGCATCTCTTCTAAGCAGAAGCCCAGCTAATAAAAGTCAAGGGTTTTGTCAGAACTGCAAGAACAGATTCCTAATTACCTGAGAATAATTTAGAAACACCTGTCAGGTGATTTTGCCTATGATGTCCTCCAGGGTCATTGATGGAAAATAGCTTGTTGAGCTCCTGTGATGTCCTGAAAGCAGGCTGTAGCATTGTCATAAAAGCTTTCTTTTCTGCCTGATCAAAATCGGGATCTGTGTATTTCACAGTATTCAATCCTGCCTATATGTTGGATAGAAATCACACCCATTGGGAAGACTTATTCCCTTTAGGCAGAACATAGCCCTTGTTACGACTTTTTGTATTTGATCTGAGTTCTGAAATGTCAGATTGACCACTATTGCCAGGATCATAGACTGAGCTGAACTGTGAGTATCCTGAGGGAAAAACTGTGATTTTAGGTCCCAGGCACACTGAGTGAGCAGTGTAAATTTCCTCTGACAAGCACAGAAGTACTCAGAAGTTTTAGATTGAAAGTTCCCCAGTTAAATCCAACCCTGCCTTGCATACTAGTGCAGAACATGAGGAGGTCACTCCTGCATTTCTTTTGCAAGGACAGTCCATATATTTATTTTTCATTTTCAAGGTGCTTCGTGACATTTAACAGAAAGATAAACCTAGGGATCCCGTTGTAGCAGCCACATAGACACCAGCAGATGGGAAATATGGGTAAATGTGACCAGGGCATTGACTGGTCTAACAGAGCCAGTCAGGGTGAAGGGCATTAGCTGCAAGGTGAACAGTAGAAGCACAGGATCCTGACTCATCATCTTCAGACCTGTGCAGGTCTCTAAGCTGCTTCTCATTCTGTTTTTGCTTCCAAATTATCCATGGCATCAGAACATCTATCCCAATAACTGTCCAGCCACTGCTGCAGTCTCCTTGTATAACTAGTAAGAAGCTGATAATTTGCTTATTGAGCAGCTTCTGCAAGCAACCACAAAAGGAAGCATGGCAAAACAACTGGGACATGGTCTGAGGTCTAGAAAATCCAAAAGAAATACAGCTTTTGTTATCTCTGCCCTTCAGATGCAGTGTGAAATTATTGCAAATAAAAAGAAAAAATTAACATTTATCTGATAGCTAGATTCAGTCTCCTTTTAAACTACATAATGAGGCCAAGTAGCACTGCTGAAGGAGTCCCAGAGATACTAACAGAAATCTCTGTTCAGTTCAGTGGAAGATTAGGGCAGAGTTAAGTAAATTATCAGCATTCAACAAATCACACCACGTAATAATTAAAAGACAGAGATATAAAAACTGGGATATTAGGGGACCTTATCATTTAGACTGCTCTAGGAGGCATCACATTATTTGCTTATGGTAGTGGAATATCTAAGATCTTTCCATAATTTCTAGCTTATTGCTGCTATAAGTATTTTTTAAGCATTACTGTGCATGTAGCAAGTATAGCACATAATAAATTAGCCCTGAGGATCCTTTAGGAGCTTCGTAGCTAAAAAGACAAACTGATAACATGCGATTTAGGAAGATCCTGTTAAAAATGTATGGTATTTCCTTCTTCTCAAAGCACTATTATACCCAAATCTGCTCTCCTAGGGGCCTGAACAGTGAACACTGCAAGGCCATGTGACATGGAATACAGAAAGGTTGTATGCTAAACAGAGGAGGCATCACAGGTGGCTGGAATTGATCCTACACAAGGCTCTTTTCCTTTGCAAATTAACATATTTTCCTAGGCCAGTGCCAACCATAAATTTGTAACTTCTTTTGAGTAGAAATTAAACCATTGTTACCAGGAGCTTAAAAACACCAGTGCATTATAAACAACATTAATTGAGTACACAGAAAGGAAAAGGGTATTTGACCTGCTCTGCTGCATTTTGCTGAGCCACAGAAGCAGCAGCCTTAAATAGAAGGAGGAGAGTCTTGTCCCTCTGTGCAGAGATAGGCTGGAGACCTGTGGAACCCCTTGCAAATTTTCAGATCAAATACTAAGCTCTTTATTGTAAGGCCAGTCACTTTTCATCACTTCTAATCACCACGGATGAAAGGGTTATACAGTTATCATTAGCCTATGTCCCCTGGAGGAGCATATCAAACCCAGCTCCTTTCCAGCTCCCAAATGGCAGCAGAATTGTATCTGCTGTCCACCTTGGACTTGGGTTCCACCCAGCCAGCCTCCCCCAGGCAAGTTGCTTCCTCACCTTTCTTTATTTCTAGCTGTTTGATAAGTGTAGACTTCTATATGCCTTTTTATGACTGGGTAACCAACTTAGACACTGAGAGATAGCAACTTCTCTCAATTGGAGATCTCTGTGAGAAGCCAAAAAGCACCTTTGAAGAAGCCTCTGTCCAAATAAAAAATAATGTCACTAGTTGAAAAGCAAAGACTACTGGGGAATAGGCTCCACTGGAAACTGCTATGCAAAAGTATAGCATAGCAAAATAGAGTATTTGCATCTTCCTCAAATATTCAGAAGGCCTGAAAATACAACTAGAAAATTAGAGGAACCAGAGTGTAAACATGTCCTGCAGCATAACTAACAAAGAGAACTTGAGGAGTGCATAGGCAGGAAAAGCACTTAAAGCCAAAAGCATAGAAACTGTTTCCTGCTGTTGGATTCTTGGTGCCTTTAGGAAATAGGGCTGTGTGCACATTTTGAGGATTATATCAAAGCAGAAGGCAACTCCATCAGTGGCTTCCTCTCTCATAACTCAGCTCGCTCTGAAGGCCAGGGTTTCTAAACAACTGGGTCAAAAAGGGGCACCTGTCCTTGATTTCCTGCACTGTCCTCCCTGTAATTCTCCTCTAATCCTGTTAATAGTTATTTTTGTTATCACAGTTCTACAAATTAATTTGGAGACACATATCTCTGTTCTTGTTAAGAAATAGGCTTTGGGACCATGGACATAAATGAGAAACATATTAGGAAACACAGACTTCTCTGATTCTGTTTTTCTAAAGTGAAATAGATAATTTATGGTATAAATTATCATTCACCATATTCTTCTCACATAACAATAATTGAATGTATCTCCTGCTAGGCTAAATAATATGTTTCCTTAGAGATTTTCTGAGCTATCAAGAACAAAGCCATTTCAAAATTAATAGAATAATCCAACTGTTACCTGGCACCCCCTCTATGTGGTGTTAAATTTGTTTTCCTTTCTCTTGTATTAAATAGAACATGTGTGATCAAATAAAGTGTTCCAAGGGAAAGATACAGAAAACCAGCTCCATGCATGCCCTTGAATAAAAAACTAAATTTGGTCTATCAGCAGTTATAAGGAAAACGCCTGGACCCGCTCTGATTCCATTCCTGTGAGTGCAGCCTCTTGGGATGCAGAAAGGAGACGATGCTTCTCCAGCACTGTGACTCACTTAGCTCTTGAGGAAATCCATCTGAAAACAAATATTATGTGGGGATTTGTGAGAGAAAGCTCCTGATCCGCTTCTGCCTCTGCCGGCACATGTACCTACCACCAGGGAAGAATTCTGTGCTGGTCTCACATGTGAGGAGAAATTCTAGCCCAAGACTTTGGGGACACTCACACTGACTAGGGAAGGTGGAAGCTTTTTAACATTCATGCTAACTAGATGCAGCCTCAGATGATGATTCCCAATCCATACAGAGGTTTTCAACATTCTCTTTTCCCTGGTGGAAATTTCTGCTTCTGCACTGCCACCCATCAGCAACCTTCATGCATTGGAAATATGGCTGGCACTACTCTGGCAGCAACAAAATTATCACAGCAAAGGGCTTGTCATGACTGGAAAGGAGTCAGTGGGAGAATAACATTTTCAGGTGCATGCAGAGAGCAGCTAAGTGTTTGCAGGTCTGGAGAAAGAATGATGTAATGGCAAAACAATGAAAGGTAGTGATGTAACAACCATAATGGTGAGTGTCAAAAGCCAAGCAGAGACATGAAGCCAAACTGAGCAGCTGCTCTGCAGATGTCAAAGTGGAAGTAACTGTCACTAAACTCCAGCTCCTCATATAAGATCCAGACACATTGTCATCCTTGAAACTCAGAGGACATGGTCCATGGTCCCCCTGCTACAAGTGGCTCACTGTGGCTTGTGTTCCTTGAGCAAACAAACATCCATACCATGGGCACCTTGATAGCCCAAAGGAATAAATAACCTTTTGTGTGATTAATTAAGTAAAAAATATTGAAAATAATGTGATAGCAGTGTGCAACAAGGAGATTTTTGTACAACATGATACTGAGAGTATGCATTGCATGCCTTGGGATGTAGCAGGTGAGTTATACATGGACATCTCTTTGCTGTTTGGATGTGTAGATGTACCAACAGAGGATATTTTCTGAGTACAAATAGGCACCAGATACCAGCATGGGCTTTTCTAAAGAAATTAGACAATATGGCCACATTAGCTGCTTGAAGGAGACACTGGCCTTCTCAAGCAGCAATCCTTTCAGAGGTCCCCAGAGTCACAGCACATCTTTGTGCAGTAGCCTGTGAGCTGGCCCATGACCTGGTATGTCTAAATCAATGTGACTGCTAAAACCTGAGACGGGAAGAGTTTTTTGTTTTTCATGAGAAGGTGAACAAAGGTGCCAAAGTTTCTGAGAAACTGTAATGACATTTCTAAAAGGTAGTTCCTAACCCTTGGACATTTATTAAGGCACAGAAAGCTCATTTGTGTTAAACAAAATTGAAATGGATATATGCGAGGTGAAAGCACATGAACGACAGTTTCTGCTTAAAGGAGACTTCACTGAAAGAACCTTGACCTTATCAATTTACTTCCCCTTCCTTGTCTTCACCCCAAGTAACTCAAGTGTGCCACCCACACACACATTGTAAATTATGGCTTTTATTTATTGATAGTCTCAGCAGCTCAAGGCAGCTGCACACCCAGTTTACCTGTCCAGTTAAAGTGGTTTTATAGCTGTTGTATACTTCTGAAGCCAGCAATGTGTACCACTATATCAACCTCTGTCAATTTCACCAGGCTTTTTGAGAAAACAAAAAGGATGCCATTGCTTTACTTCTTAACCTTTGGTGTTTTCAAGAGCCTTTTGTCATTCTGAAACTGTGCCAAAATTCTTGAGGTTTAATGCAGAATTTATTACTCATCTTTATTGTTTGGGATCTGTTGTGCGGTTTATTAAAATCCACAGTTTGAAACAGGCATGTGTGTATAAATCAAACCATATTAATAAACCACCTTGGACCAGAGGAACATAATATTTAGGGCTTGTTCACAAGGGAAAATGTTCTAAATGGGAATGTCAACTGGAAATTGAGTGGCTAATGTACCTTCAGTGCTTAAATGGATGCTCCTATTCTGTGCTGAATTCTTCCTTGTGCCTCAGTTTAGTTCTTTTGAAAGCCAAGGGAGATAAACCATAAAAAAGCTCTCAGGGTATACCAAGATTTTTTCCAGACTGACCTTGAGCTAGTGGGAGCATGGAATGGGCAGGGTGTGGAATAGCTGCTCTGTTACAGCCCTTCCAGATTGTTTCCTCCAGATCTACTGTTGGTACATGCTTCACTTCCCAAACACCTGTTTGTCCCTACCTGGCAGCTCTGCATGATCCTTTCTCGTGAAGCTGATTTTCTTCTTATGACTTTGGAATGCATAGGCACCATCTGTGTTTTCTTAAACATCCAGTCACCAAGAGCAGGGAGCTGGAAAGCAAGGACAGGTAAATTAGAGAGAATATACATATGAATCATCCAGGTGAAAAAAATCATTCATATTCAATGTTTAAAGAATTAATTCGGTCAGTTGCAATAATGCTAGTGCAACTTTAGACCAGGACTTTCTGTTATGGGTTACAGGACAAACTTGATCTTGACCAAACGTGACATGTGGGTGATATTCTTGGCCATATGTGATGATTCCTAAAAATCCCATCAAAATAGTGGATGTGAGTTGCACATGGAAGCTCATTTACTGACAGTTTAAATATGACTGCCTTTGAATTTGGTCCCTGTGTTCTCATGGAATTTGCCGTATTTATGCTGCAGAAGCTAGCTGTCGAGGGGGGACAATCCTTGTTCCTTTCAGGAAAGAAACAGCACGTTTAGTCCCTGTAGAGATACAAAAAGAGAAAATTGGGCTGGACATTAACTTTTTCCATGCAGAAATGCCACAATAGCATTTGGGGGATGCCCTGCATCAACTGAACTGGAGTTATGCAAAAAGCAATTTATAGCTGTCAGTGTTCTTTGCCACCAAAGTGTGGTATCTCTGCTGTTTTCAAACTGTATACAGCCCACTTCCCTGTGGCTGCAGGGGAAAGATGCCTTGAATGGCCACTCAGAAGAACTTACGTGACTAGCAGTGCCTGCTACAGCTCTGTTGGTATAGCACTTTTGTGCTTATTAAAGGAATGACAAAGAAATGCAGGAACTTCTGTTACACGCTTAAGCCCATTTCCATTTTTTAAAGTCAGAAATCTGGATTTAGACGCCAGTCTCCAGAAGCTGCTAAGAACAAAACAAAGCATTTGGGGAATTGCTCCTCTTGTTTCAGGTGAGAAGTTGTAACAGACCTTGGCCGTTTACTTGAAAAAGGGTGCAAATTATGCTAAAATTTTCCTCTTTCTAGTGCTGCTGCCTCTGCTCCCATGCCTCCTCATGCAGCTGAACCATAAGGTAGTAATGAAAAGCATCTTTTTACTCTGTCAATACCATTGTTTATTTTATCTCTGCAGCTCACACTAGGTCTTTGAATTAAATGAAAAAACAGCCTCGCTGTTATCAGCACAGGGCAGAAGCAGACGGGAAACTTGTGGTATTGCTCTGACTAATGCTGTGCCTTCGTGCAGCTGGAGTATGATGCTGGGGGGTGCTGGATGCCTTCTGCACCCCTTCAACTCATCCAAAAAAAGAAAACTGACTTCAAAGCATTCCTCATTTCCCTGGAGTTTTCAGCACTCCAGATTACTCAGCCATGGCTGGACAGTCTGACTTCTGATGGTGATCTCTTCCTCCGTGTTTTTAGTGAGATGGACTCAGACCTTTTTAGCCAGTAGCTAAAAACATTGGAGGTTTCTGTCAGCTCAGCTCAGGAGCTGCCACACACTGCATGAGTTTGCATCTCACTCGCTGGCTTCTCCTAGCCCAAGTTCAAGCATTTAGAGCTTGTGCAGGAGAAACAGAAAGGGTAATACCACAGGCTCTCCACCAGCTTCTGCCCTGGGCAGATAAGAACAACACTTTTCTAAAGTGGCCTGAGGCAATGCCATGACTCAGTTCAAAGTTGCAAAGACAAAATAAGCTACAGTGTTCCTAGAAAAAAAAGATCTTTGTAGAAGCCCCAGAAGAACAAAAATAATTAAGCACTCGAACAGAATAATAATCTAATATTATTGTTTGGTATTGAGCCTGTACTCCACAGCCTTCCTCTAGGACTGGAGCTGTTATGCTGGGCACCAGATATGTGTGAAATGAAGAGACAGGCTATGCTTTTAAAGGAGTCCCAGTTTAAGCAGTAGAGTGGGAAGAAGGGAAAGAAAGAGGGATAGAGGAAGGTACCATTGAAATGTAGATGTTTTAGGACACGTCTGTGAACCAGTAGGGACACTCCTGGGCATCCACTGAATAAAGTATCCTCATATCATAAGAAATTCTTCTCTAGTCAATGTTTTTATGTCCCATAAGCCAAACAGAGCAACTGGAATTTCTGTTCCAAAATGCAAAGGGGACTGAAGTTTCCCAGGAGCTCACAGGAGTCAGACTCCTCACTGCTTTTATCCAAACAGGGCTGCATTATCAACCCCAACTTCACTCCACTTCTGCTATCTTAGCAGCATGCCATCTCTTTCATTGTCTGAACACTGCCTCTCTCGGAGAGACAGTATCCATTTGTAGGACAAGTGACACATGCTGAAAAAAACCCAAAACCAACAACCAAAGAAACAGCAGCTGTTTGATTTTATCCAGACTAGCAGCATTTGCAGAAATTCCTGAGGAAATGGCTGAGTAGGCTTGAAATAGATAGCAGCTCAAGGAGAATGGACTTTGTCACCTTGTCTTGCCATTCATGACAAGCCAAGGATGCATGCTCCAGGGGAAGACAAATTTTGAATGGCTATGCACAGAGAAGGCAACCTCTAGCAGCTGAAAATACACTGAAAGGACTTCTGCAGTCCTGCAGGATAAACTACATCTCAGGCTGCCTCATATCAGTGTCTCTCAGTGCTTAATTTGTTCCCATTTTCCATCAGGTCATTGCCACATGGGAAGTTGGGTTTTGTTTATAGTCAACACATTTAGCTTGTGTTGACTATATGGAGATTACATCAAGAAAAGAGAAAGACACAATGAAAGACTACTCTTAGATCTATGACAAAAAATTATCTTTCCTTCTAAAATCAGTATTTCCCAGCCTATTTAGAACCCAGAACACTTTTAATCCTCCAATGAAAAACAGTCCACGATCACTCTTATGCCACTCCAAAAAAGAAATCTTGGTCATAGTTCATAAAATCCTTTGCCAAGGTGTCAGGGACCAAGGAGCAAATGTAGAGATCATTACAAGGGGCCCAAGATCCAAAAATATGCTTTTCTGGCTTCTGGGTGTTCATAGGACAGTTGGAAGGAAACAAATGTGTTCTACCTGTGGCTGATGTAGTGTGTACAGCTATGATCACCTTAGTCATAGGCAGAACACAGATGGATGTTTGTTTTTTTCTTGGAGGCTGGAAGTGTTTTTCATTATTGTTTTTAATCTCTTCTTTCTCTCATCCACCTTCAGGTATCTCCATGCCTATACCTGTCTTTGGACTACAAGATGACTCCAAAGTATTTAAGAAAGATATTTTTAAGAAAGACATCTGCTTACTCGCAGATGAAAATTTTGTTCTAGTAGGCTCTTTTGTGGCATTCTTCATCCCTCTAACCATCATGGTAGTCACTTATTTTTTAACTATCAAGTCACTGCAGAAGGAAGCTATGCTATGTGTGAATGACATTGGCCCTAAGACCAAGTTTGCTTCATTCAGCTTCCTCCCTCAGAGTTCCCTGTCCTCAGAGAAACTCTTCCAGCGCTCCTTGAACAGAGACACGGGGACTTCAGGAAGGAGAACCATGCAATCCATCAGCAATGAGCAGAAGGCTTCCAAGGTCCTTGGCATTGTCTTCTTTCTGTTTGTTGTGATGTGGTGCCCGTTTTTCATCACCAATGTGATGGCTGTTATTTGCAAGGAGTCATGCAAAGAAGAGGTCATTGGAGGACTTCTTAACATATTTGTTTGGATTGGCTACCTTTCTTCAGCTGTCAACCCACTCGTATATACGTTGTTCAACAAAACCTACCGCTCAGCTTTCTCTCGCTACATCCAGTGTCGCTACAAGGAGGAGAAGAAACCTTTCCAGCTGATCTTAGTGAACACTATCCCAGCACTTGCATATGACTCCAGACAGCTCCAGCTAGCACAAATGAAGAGTTTGAAAAAAGAGGCGAAAATGATGGCTAAGGATTACTCAACAGTCACGATAGGAACACATCATTTAGATGGTACCTCCAAGGGAAGTATCGGCCCAGGGAATGAAAAGGTTAGTGGTGTGTGATGGTCAGCAGCTGCCATGACAACCACTTTCTGTGCACTGAAAATTTCACTCGCTGTGAGAAGCTCTGATAGCTTAGGAAAATCAGCTGTGTTCAAGAGACCTTCCAACAACATCATATACTCCTCACATTATCCTGTGAATGAAAAGCAGGGTTGAAAGGGTATCAAATGTGCAATTTTTCTCCATACTTTGGCTGTTTAAAGCACAGGCTTTATTAAACTTATTTTTTTAATATTCTAAAGGATATATTTCTTAAAGAAAAAAATGCAATTTCTTGTATTATAATATGGGCTGTGAAGAAACCTACGCATTTCTCTTCTCTTTGCAAATGAAAGCTAAGCTGTCCTTTGATGTTCTTGCAGAGTAGGCTCCAGCTAGTTTGTCTTGCTACAACTGAGTTTTGTTATCATTAACTGAATGAGCACTTTATGGAATTTTAAATAAAATGATGGTCCATTTGCTAATATATATTTAAAATAAATCCTAAAGTATTAAACAAAATCTATTCAAATTGCTATAGATTAATTATATGGACATTTTGTTAACTGTTTTAATGCTATTTTTTTCTTTCTCAGTAACCATCCCGAAATGCCCCTGGGCTTTTCTGCCATTTGTTCTGTATTTCAAATAAGCAATCTTTAAAGGTGAATTATACTTGAATAATCCTCTGTTTCCACCACCACTTGTAATCTTTATTTCAGGACTTGTAGTTTATTTTCATTCAAAAATTTCACATGTTCATCTTAAAAATTGAAAGTAATGTTTTCAAAATTATTAGTCTTAATTCCCTGCTCCTCCCACTAGTGAAGACAGGGAGGTGAAGTGAGAGAACAGCGGAAAACCAGGCACAACATTGCTAAATAATTTCAGCACCACTTCCAGATTCATGACTCTCTGTTCAATTCCAAAAAAGTCTGATTTAAATTATGTCAGAGGAAGCTTTGCATGAGTAAAGCCTTCAGTAAAAGATTGAAGCAGATCCTCTCTCATAATTTCTCTTTGGTTAAAAAAGGCCATTATGAAGAATGTTCTGGTTTTCATTTTGGGCTTGTAAAGCCAGAATTATTGGAAAACAATAGTTACTAAAAATTGTTTTCCGTTGTTTCACTGTATTGCTGTTAAGGCAGATTGCTCAGGAATGGTCAGAAGACTGCACTACTAGGACTCAGCCTTAATGAAATATGTATGGGCAAATGGGGCTCACTTGAAAAATAACAGGACCTGTAAGCAAGACTGCATTTCATCTGCATAGATCCAAGGATAGATTACATTGCATAAAGAACATAAAACACTGCTTGCCAGACATGCCTAGTCATGAAACTCTTTTCTTTCAGGCATCATAGCCAATATCACTGAGGCCAGTGGGTCTTTGCTGAAGAGGAGAAATATAAATGCTGCATTCATATGCAAAGCTTAAATCCAATAATTTGTTTCATTCCATGAATTTTGCAGCCATAATCTCATCAGAACCAGGATGTATTCCAGTTTCTCTAGAGAAAAACACTGCCCATCCAGAAGCAAAACTCCAATGCCTTCACCCGTCCTTCTATTGAAGTTGTTCAGTTTTAACAGAACAATTGAATTTCCACTAAGTCAAAGAAGGAGAGAGACAGAGAGAAACTGAACCTTATTCCAGTCTACCAAGTGGGAGCCTTCAGAAGAAGAAGGCCTTTAGCTTAAGATACTGATACAAGGACTTAAAAGTTGGCTTGGTATTTGACTGATTTCTAAGAAACTGATTTTTTGTCATAAATACTGTATAACTTAATCTCCTAGTTTCATGAGCCCTTTCCTCTGACATGGAATAGGTAGGAGACACTGTGCACTGGTCACACAGAAGCTCTGCATGCACATGATGACACTGACACCCCACAGACCTCAGCCTTCATGTCTGGGACAAAGTGTCATGCTGTAGCCCCACTCACAGTGATGATGCCATGCATGTCATCTATCACCTCGCAGACATTCATGGTTTTCCCCCCAAAACTTGTCATTTAGGATGAACTGATAAATCAAGTGGGATAAATGCTGTGCTCACCAGGCACTTTATATGGTCTCTCTGTCTCTGGGTACATTTGATCACCACAGTCAAACTGAACAGCTTCAGCAGAAGCAAAAATGAACTCGCTGCTCCTACCTCCCTATGCACACATCCCGCTCCTACACAGCATTGTGTGAGGGGTGTCACACCGGCAAAGAATGGATTCCAAGGGGATTATGCTAAATGCAGCTGAGCATGAGGACTACCATAGTAGTAGGTGGAAGCAGTGACTTTCCACTGTTTCCTGTGAAGTTTGATATTGACCCTGAATCTGGTACTTTGAACTAAGGACAATGCTCATCTTGTATCCCACAGGCCAGATGTCTCCACTACACAACTGGGGTGATGGTTTTGAGGATTTGCTCTTGAAAACAGGTATCTCAGGGAATAAGCAGACAGTAATAAAAGCAAAGGTGTTTTGTGAGAAGAGATCTGAGGCTCTAGATCTGCCACCAAACCAGATTGCCTTCATGTGATGAATATTGACAGGGGACTGAAGGTCTCTAAACCTACATGTGAGGGGAAAAGAAACAGAGGCTTCCACCAGTGGAGAGAATTGCCACATTTTTTGCCATTTATGCCTGACCTGATGCAAGTTTCTCTGGCCTTGCAAAAGAAAGAAGTAGGTGGGACAGACAGCTTGGGTCTTATTGCCCATTTGTGCCAGGGAGCAGAGCCCACTTGCATCCTGTGTGATGTATATGGCTCCCTGCACATCTCCAGAGCTCAGTTCCTCCCAAATCTCCTGAGGGTCCAGTTGCTGCTCTGCACAGTCTTCTTCACCAGCTCGCAGCTGATAAACTGTTACTGAACATTTCACATCCAGTGCTTATGCTCTCCACTTACAGTCTGCATTTTGCCCACGTGGCAGAGCAGATCAGCCCTCTGTTTCTCTTTCATTTCACCTTCTGTTCCTCGTTCACAATGTTAAATTGCTCAGGTTGCAAATACTGACAGGGAATGTTTCACTACAATCACAGAGGGTTTCAATTACTTGCTTGAAGTTTTATTACAAGATGACTCTGAACAGTATTTTTTTTTCCCAGCTTACTAAAATAAAACCTATGTTTTGGACATAAGAGACTTGACAGCATTTCATTAATTGACAGCTGGAGATAAAATAACACTTAGTTTTTGCTTAGAAACAGGGAAAACTGATGCCTGACATTTTGATTCTGGAGCACTCAAATGGTTTTATTGAGTGATCAGCAGCTTTTGTCTATGAAGCCTCTCAAGGCCAGGAATGCACAGCAGATAAAGACCAATATTTCCAGCTCTTTATGGACATTTTTGATAACTTAGAAAGGCCTGATTCTGCCATCCTGCATCAAAATATTAATAGATTTTTGTGCAGTTTGCCTTAGTGAGGATGAGAGAGTCAGGAAATGAATTTGTTCTAGCTACCATGCCAAATCTGCTAGAGGTTGTTCATCAGTAGACAGCAATTAATGGTCTCATTATACTGCAGACAGTTGACAAAGTTCAGCTGTTTTAAACTGGGATTTACAGCACTTGGCCCATGCCTGGAATGAACACCATAGTTTAATATGACCAGCTTCAGAGCAACATTTCTATCTTCCAAAAACCGTGTTTTCATTATGCATCAGACTGGAATGGAATTTTTTGTAATTATTCAGGTTGAAAAAAAAAAAAAAGAGAAGACATTTATACAGACTGGTTCAGAGGTTAGGGCCTCCCCCTACTTCACAGGAAGTGCATGCTGAGTCAGTCTGTCATATCTGCATCCAAAAAAACCACTTCATCTGAAAAAACTTTTCAGCATCAATTTTTTCAAGTAGATTGAGATTTTATTACTGTTAAGACTGCATCTGAAAAATGTCCAAAGACATGAATCTCACCACGTATCTCCTAAGCTGGTGTGCATCCTTTTTACACTTCAGGGTAAAAATTCCTATGTATCTATCCCATCCAGCCAATCATGCACTGTACTTATGTAATTATTGCCAGATGGTGAGATGCATTCTATTTTGAATACCTACATGTTTGCTTATGTAAATACATAGAGAAAAAAATTGCTGTATTTTGTAATGTTAATGTAAAATGGTGTTTCAATGCTTTACTGTTTTGTCTGATTGCACTGCTAGTAAAGCAGATTAAAATATTCAAATGCCATCAGTTGTTTTATAAACTGGAGGTTTGTCTTATACAGCTAATTTGGTTTGGTTTTATTTATCCCATAAATATTCAGTACAATGTCTGCTGAAGGCTAAAGTAATTTTACATATTTTTCTGGACAAAAAGAAAGAGCATGTTGCAGAATTTAACTATCTCATGAAATGAGCCATTGTAATCATTCTCTTTTTCTAAGGACAGCCATCCTTCTATTGAAGAGGTACTCCTTGGGTAAGTACATACAGCTTAATAATTTTCGGTCTCAGAAACAGTGTATTTGTAGTAGTAGAAAGACAAATTAATTTCACTAAGAAGTAGAACTATAAGATTAAAAACAACAAGCTGTATTGGTTTGCATGGTACAGGAATGGGTTCTGTGAGAAGCTTCCAGAAGTTTTGCCCATATCTGACAGATCCAATGCCAACCAAATCTAGGATGGACAAGCTTCTGGCCAAGGCCAAGCCCAGCAGCTGTCACTATGGTGCCAGTGGGGTAACAGATTTAAGAAGTGGGGAAAGCTGCTCCATTGCAGCCAGAGAGAAGAGTGAGACTATGTGAAAGGAACAGCTCGGCAGACACCGAGGTCAGAGGAGAAGGAGGGGCAGGAGGGAGCAGAGATTCTCCTGGTGCAGACCATGGGGAGGCAGCTGTGCCCCTGCAGCCCAGGGAGGTCCATAGGGGAGCACGTATCCCCCTGCAGCCCGTGGAGAGCTCCACGCTGGAGCAGGTGAATGCCAGAGGATGCTGTGACCCCGTGGGAAGCCCGTGCTGGAGCAGGGTCCTGGCAGCATCTGTGGGAAGCCAGTGGAGAGAGGAGCCCCTCGGGAGCAGGTTTGCTGGCAGGACTTGTGACCCAAAACGGAGCCGTTCATGAAGAACTGCAGCCCGAGGGAAGAATGCACGTTGGAGAAGTTCATGACAGTCTCCAGAGAGACAGACCTCAAGCTGGAGCAGGGGAAGAGTGTGAGGAGTCCTCTCCCTGAGGAGAAAGGAACAGCAGAAACCACATGTAACGAGTAACCACAGCTCCCATTTCCCATCCCTCTGTGCCACTGTGGTGGAAGAGGTAGAGAACATCAGGAGTGAAGTTAAGCCCAGGAAAAAGGGACAGGGCTGGAGGGGTGAAGTTGTTTTAAGATTTAGCTTTTGTATCTCATTAGACTACTATTGGCAATAAAACAAACGAATTTTCCTAAGCCAGGTCTGTTTTGCCCCAGACAGTAATTGGTGAGTGATCTCTTCCTCCCCTTATCTCGACCCACGAACTTTTCCTTGTATTTCCTCTGTCCTGCCTTGACTGAGGAGAGGAATGGGAGTTTGGTGGGCACTTGGTGTCCAGCCCGGGTCAGCCCCATCGCCAGAGCAGCACGTACAGCGTGGCACCGCTGCAGACAGAAGTAACCCCGGGTCACAGAACCACAGTGCCATCTATTGTCGGTATTTTCTTTCACAAAGAGCATTGAAATAACAACCTCAAATAGATTTTAATAGTTTTCATTTCCCCTGTCTTAAAACCAAAATAAATTTATTCCTCCAACTGATCTTATAGCATACAAGCTCTTGTTTGCAATGGCAACCCATATCAAAGAAGTACAGCTCTTAATAAGTAATCCCTTCAAAACCTTGCTCTAATCTTAAGATTTCGTTGAGCTTTTTAATGTGTAGAAAAAAGCATACAAAGCCATGTTTTTCAGAAGCTATCAGACATAGGGAATCAGATTGTTTTAGCTGCAAATATGCAACATATCACAGGGTGAAATGTACCACAAGATCCTTGAATTGGAAATCCACTCAGTTTTACC